TGTAAATGAAGACAGCTGATCGATTATTTAAGATGCAGCATTGTTACGTAAGAGTGGAAACAGTAGCGTTTTCGCGTAGACTGGTGTAAATTATTCTGGGATCTGCGACGTGGTTTACGTCGGCTCATGAGTTTAGAATCGCTCGAGAATTTCAATACCCGAATTCAGTTCTAGAATATAAGTTAAATAAATCGTTGATCTTCGTAATTATTGTTGCTAAGCGGCGAGATTCCCTTTGATGTAGTGAACGTACAAGTAACATTATGGAAATGTCTTCGTTACGCAAGACGCGTAAGTTCAGATATGTATGTATTATACATACGTACATAGTTTAAGTGACGACTAAAGGAAAGATAAATCTAGTTGAAACGTAATTAAAACTAGACTTGAGTGTTAGCAAAACGATGAGAACGAACAACTTTAAGGATTACGTTAAGTATATTAAAAGGAATGAAAGTTAGGCCATTTGTATTAATTTCACTTTTTCCTGACCAAATTCACTTATATTCTGAAGAATTGTAAAAACTTAATCGATTGCTATTTCAATTTTTGTACGTGTGTTTCTTTCTAAGAACAAGAAATTGGCCATGATTTCTGGATATCGAGTAGTAGTGGCGACATTCAGGAATTCAAACATCCATTGGTTCTGAAAATTTCGTAACAAGTCGAAATATCGATTTAATAAAACGTATTAAATATTTTTGTAGAAGACACGTGTGTCGTATATTTGATTGAATTAATTTATTCATTACTTCCACATATTCCGTAAAAGATATGTTTACTTGAAACACGTTTTTTAAGTTTATATTATAAATATTTTATTTAAAATAAAAATCCGCGGTGGAGCATAATTCTTATTCATCCACTCCCAACTACTGCGCCTTCGATTTTACTTATAATAATGGATAAGATAAAAGAAAATAGACGTTTTTCGGTTGTAAAATACGAGCCTCAAAAGCGGGCGACGTTTCATACTCACCAGGCTAATAAAACATGAAAGCACATAAAATCGGTCGTTCCATATGCAATCGATCGAACGTAAAAAGAATCGTGCATCGAAACAAGCCGTGCAACTTCATTCGTACATCGAGACACGTACAGCACGTACGCATAAGAGACACCAAAAGTGACGAGCACGCCGGCTAAACGTTACCCAATGGAGGCAGATCGATCTTTTCTTCTACCGGTTCCCGCTTCCCCCGTCTCCTGGTCGCCTCTGCTCCACCGGCTCTGTTCCCTGTGTAATTCGTATTCCACGGCAGTTGTATCCCGGATCGCCTGCAGCTCGAGCGAACGCGCTTCTCCGTCCCCGCGTGTTTCGCACGGCACGTCGGATAGTTAGTCGATGATGTCGGACGACTAATGCGCGTCGGAGGAAGTAGTATCGACGTGTCTCCGCCGCCGCGAGCCTCTTGCACGTGTTCCCACCCTTCTTGCAATTTTAGAACCGGGGGTGGATGCTGCCGGTGTACCCGCCGTTCTCGTTCTCATTCGCGTATCCCGTTCTCGTTCTCCCTGCATCCACTACTCGTCGCGTCGCGTCGTTCCTCGTTCCCTGCGTGGCCGTACTACCTACATATATCGGGATCGACGAGATGATGTCCCGCCGATGAGACACTCCGCGGTTTTGCGGAGATGGGGCTGCTTTGTTTCAAACGCGTTCACCAGACGGGCTTTGGCGATGCTATCCCCTCTTCTCTACGCTGTTGGATTATGCATAATTGTGATTTTCGACGATGGAACGTGGCCGAGCACTTTAAGAATTTTGTAAACAAGAAATGAGCTGCAGTGATTTGTGAAAATTAATATTTTAGTGTTATGTACAGTTCCGGGATAATTGTTGATCTTCCTGTGTCTTAAATTTTTTAGTTCAGAAATTTATTATGGAAAACGATTGGCCGTTTTAAAACAAAATTCATAAACATTCACTGTTTTGTCTATAAAACTAGTAATGTAAAATGGTTGTAGATGTACATACGAATAATAGGAATAAATTAAAATTAATAAAATTAAATTGGCAGTGTGAAAGTTTGTGTTTAGAAATTATTGCTAATAATTAAACTTATACTCCGTTCTAAGAATGGATTAAATACAAGTGTAAAATTTGGGAAAGAATTGTGAAAGAATTGTGAAAGGAACAGAATTCAAGAACGCCGCTCGGATACCGATTAAAACGGGTTTCGTACTCCGGGGAGATGGAGTTCAGTGACGAGGGTAAAATCAGTGAGACGATGGAATTAGGGAATGTTGCGAAATCGATGTTGAAACCGTGTTCTCGCATTCACACGTACGTATACAGGTATCATATAATAATAATAATAATAATAATCGTCCTATCTATTCTCGCCGTAGCTCGTGATTTTTATAAAGGCCGACAGGAATACACACGTTGTCGCGATATCGATACACAAAGAGCGCATTGCGTTATCATCGGTACACGTAATACCCTCGTTTACACGTAGCACTTCCTCTTTACGACTTATTTCGATACCGTTCGTTCCCCGTTGGCGTATATACAATCTATTGTAGGTCCGGGCAACACACGCGCAGTAACAATTTGGCTTGACAATACGAGAGCGTGCGAGATAGGAATTCGATTTATCTGAATTGTTGATAAGCAAATCATTTGCCAGACACCGCGCCTCGGTTTCTCGTTTCCTAAAACCGATATTACACTTAATTCTTTTAATATTAGCAAAGAGCCGGACGTTAGCCAAGATCTTAGCTCACTGAACACGCGTTCGGTTCTTGTTTTCGTCGCGCAGTTGCGAGGTCCGAGCAGCACCGGTCGAACGGTTCCCGTGCATGTGCTTCGAATTGGCTGTGGTGCAACTGCAACAGCAACGAAGGGTGAGGCGGAAGGCACGCATATTTTCGAGCGTGACGCACCTTGGACGCTGGGCTTGGCTCACCGGCCGAGAGAGATATCGGAGGCGCTTTTGCTTTGTGCACGCGCGTGTAATGTAGACGCGTGTGTCGGATAAGGCCGCATTCACATCGATCTCGGATTCTCCCATGTGTGATTGCTTATGAGTAGACCGCGAATTTTACGCATTTATAGAAAAATTAAATATGTAATAGGTATAAAGTGTTACTTGCTGTCATTATACAAAAATAAAAGAAATTTGAAAAATCATATGCATTTGAATTGATGAAAAAAATTCCTATCTATAACACATTTTGTAAATCGTTGTCATAAATGTTTTATTTTGCATAAAAGTCTACTTAGAAGTAATTAAGACATTATCGAGCAATTAGCAAAATCATTCCTGTTATTACAGTTTAAGACTATTAGAACGGGAAATGAGTAGGCAGAAAATTATGTTGGACAATCGATAGTTTGAAAACCATTGTTGATATCCGAAGTAGATTCCTTTAATTGTTTTCTTTCTATCAATTTATCGGACTCGATATCGATGTATTATCTGACTCGTAAAAAGATGTAATTGTGCTATTGCCTTATCTAGCTTTTTTACTGGGAGATATTACATTATCTAGCCACGCTACATACTTAACTGTAGTTTCACCCGATACCGCGCGCGAATTCCGTGAGCAAGGAGACTCGTTCGATTAATGGATGTCAACGCGCAAAACGACCGCGATTCCGGCGCGACGTGGCGTCACGAGGGCGCGCTGAGTAAGCGGTTTAATTTTATTCGGGATACGTCGTAACGTACGACTCGCGAAGCCTCTCGAATCGAGGCGTAAACAGCGGTCCATATTAGATGCGACTATTAGACGCATCTCAATAGTTTTCGAAGCTGCCACGCGTTTTTAACGTTAAGAAGCAATGAAATCTCTTCTTATGAACACAACCTAATCCCGCATCCTTTCCACGAATGATATCCCCCTTTAAAGCGTCTTCCTTCAGAAGCAATCCGCGAAACGGAGTAACAGGACGGATATGCTGAAAGCGATGAGAAAAAGAGACAGTGAATGAAAAGAGAGGAGCAGGAAGAACGGAGCAAAGGAGCAGAACGCAGGATAGAGAGGCTAAGCGGATACGCACGACGCGTGCAAACGGACACGCGAGAGTGTACGTACGCACTCCGCTCGGATGTGCGCTCCTTTCTGTCTCTTTCTCACTCGACGGAAGAGCGCGTGTATGTAAACGGGCGAGCACCGCGATTAAACCGGCGCGGCGGTTCGTTTTCTGCCGGGAGACTCTTTATACGAGCACGCCGCTCTGCTAACTGGCAACTGGCTACGCTAGCTAACTGCTCGCGAGAAAGAGACGGAGAAGGAAACGGACGGAGACGAGGAACAGGGCCGTGCTTAAGCACCTTTAGTACCACCAGCCTCGGGATTTCCAAGGGGAATGCACTCGTTCCACGAGCCACGCTCGTTTTACGATACATACGTGTCCCTTTTCCACGGCTCTGACCGTGCTCCGTTCGAGTTTCGTCCTCTCCGAGTCGTTGATCCTCTCGATTCAATCGTTTAACGTCGAATATGAATCTGGCGGAGGTTGAAACAGAAATAACCCTATTTAAAAATGGATCATCAGAATGACTATTATAAGACTGAAATTACTCTAATGCAATGATCAACTTCTCGGTTTTCCGGTTTCAGATGATTTTTTTGTCTCGAACCGTTTCGTTCCTTATGAAATCTCATTATTGTGTTCTTTGGATCAGGATAATTATCCTCCAGTTCATCCAAACAATGACTCGTCAGAAAAAGTGGACGCCGATAATTTATTCGCGGCATTTCCGCGCGACTGATATTCCGATATGCACACTTGCTGTTTGGTACGGACGAGAGAGGAACCGTACAAGCTCGAGCGGACGAATTAATGGAACGAATTAAAAATACATCGACACCGTGGAGCGGGTCGAGTGGAGGCGAAAGGAGGCACGCACGTATCGATCCTCCCTCGGGGAGAGGGTGAAAATAGTTTTTCCTCGTCCCGATGCAAGTGGCAGTTTGACAGAGCGCGCTCGGTGATATCTCGCGATGCGAATATTCACGACGGCGCGGCGTCCATCTCCTCTCTCCCCATGATCTCTCTCTCTCTCTCTCTCTCTCTCTTTGCCTCGCCTCGGTTCTGGCATGTAGTAGTGGCCTCTCGCAGTCGTAGTCGTCGTCGTCGTCGTCTGTGCACCTGGAACTTGCACGTCACTGGACCCGAAGCACCGTCCTCGGGTCTTTGACCCCGGTTGCATCTGGACAGAACGCTTTGATAATGCATCGGCACGATTATCGACGACTCCAACTGTGCTCCTACAGCGATCTTTAAACGCGTACAGAAACGATTTCTCAGCGAACCGCGCTACAATTCCTCCCTTTAACTAGTCAGTCCCTTGATAAATATTATTAGGCTGTTGTACATGAAATGTCTTTTTCAATCACAGCAGATTCCTGTAGAGTATTATATATTTCAGTTGAATTATTTATCCTAAGTCAGTATCCTAAATAATGGTCATCTACATTTTTGTCTTGTTAAGATTTTGAAAAAAAAAAAAAA